TTGAGACAAAGTCTTGCTCTCTCGCCAGGCTGGAGTATAGTGGCACGATCTCGGCTCACGGCAACCTCCCCTTCCCGGGTTCAAGTGATTCTCCTGCCTTAGCCTCCCAAGTAGCTGGGACTACAGGCATGTGCCACCATGCCCAGCTAAGTTTTGTATTTTTAGTAGAGATGGGTTTTCACCATGTTGGCCAGGGTGGTCTCAATTTCTTGACCTCGTGATCTGCCAGCCTCAGCCTCCCAAAGTGCTGGGACTGCAGACATGAGCCACCGTGCCCAGCATTATATAATATTTTTTAGAAACACATAATCACAATTCTCCATTTTCTAAACAAGAAGCAGAATTTTAGTTCTTGTCATTTCTATGTGACAGTGTAGACATTGCTAAAATATTTTGAGGAACTGTGCTTAAAGTAACTTTTAGAAAGAGAGATTAAGGAATCAAATTTGTTACATTTTGGACCTATATAAATAAAGTAGGAAAAAAGATATATATGTGTGTATTCACACACACACAGATACATACACCCACACAGAAAGAATGAGACTATTATTAAGGCAATCGATATTAATACTCCTAAAAGAGTCAATATATTTAATTGTGTGGGAAAATTAAAATATACATAAAACCAAAGGATAAAAAGAAATCTAAACCAATATTCAATATTGTTATATCTAAAACCAGGCATTTGAAATATAGATACTAAATTTTAGTTATTTGAAATAACCTAAAACTTTATTTATATAATAAAAATAGCCGGGCGTGGTGGCTCAAGCCTGTAATCCCAGCACTTTGGGAGGCCGAGGCGGGTGGATCACGAGGTCGAGAGATCAAGACCATCCTGGTCAACATGGTGAAACCCCGTCTCTACTAAAAATACAAAAAAAATCAGCTGGGTATGGTGGCGCGTGCCTGTAATCCCAGCTACTCAGGAGGCTGAGGCAGGAGAATTGCCTGAACCCAGGAGGCGGAGGTTGCAGTGAGCCAAGATCGCGCCATTGCACTCCAGCCTGGGTAACAAGAGTGAAACTCCATCTCAAAAAAAAAAAAAAAATACATATCTGTGACTACCTGTAAAAAATGTTGGCTGTACTACACAGAAACTCTAAAGATCATTATTATGATAAAAGCTGATGACTACACATTTTAAATTTAGGATTAACTATGTTTGCTGCCCTTATAAACATAACTCAGATCAGCCAGGTGCAGTGGCTCAAACCTATAATTCCAGCACTTTGGGAGGCTGAGGTGGGTGGATCACCTGAGGTCAGGAGTTCCAGACCAGCCTGGCCAACATGGTGAAACCTCATCTCTACTAAAAATACAAAAATTAGCTGGGCATGGTGGCAAGCTCCTATAATCCCAGTTACTTGGGGGGCTGAGGCAGGAGAATCACTTGAACCTGGGAGGTAGAGGTTGTAGTGAACTGAAATCGTGTTATTGCACTGTAGCCTGGGTGACAAGAGTGAAACTCCATCTCAAAAAAACAAAAACAAAAACAAAAACCAAAACCAGGCTGAAGCGGCAGGTCGGGCACGGTGGCTCACGTCTGTAATCCCAACACTTCGGGAGGCTGAGGTGGGCAGATCACAAGGTCAGGAGTTGGAAACCAGCCTGGCCAATATGATGAAACCCCATCTCTACTTAAAACTCAAAACTAGCCGGGCATTGTGGCAGGTGCCTGTAGTCCCAGCTACCCAGGAGGCTGAGGCAGAAGAATCACTTGAACCTGGAAGGTGGAGGTTGCAGTGAGTCGAGATTGAGCCACTACACTTTCAGCCGGGCAACACAGCAAGACTGTGTCTCAAAAACAAACAAACAAACAAACAAACAAAAAAACCACCAAAACAGAAACCACCCCACCCCCAAAACAAACATAACTCAGATCTAATAATTTTTTTTTTTTTTTTTTTTGGTGACAGAGTCTGGCTCTGTCACCAAGGCTGGAGTGTAGCTGTACAATCTCGGCTCATTGCAACACCACTTCCCAGGCTCAAGTGATCCTTCCACCTCAGCCTCCTGAGTAGCTGGAATCATGGCACATCTCTGTGCCTGGCAAATATTTTGTATTTCTGGTGGAGACAGAGTTTCACCATGTTGCCCTGGCTAGTCTCAAACTCCTGAGCTCAAGTGATTTGCCTACCTTAGCCTCCCAAAGTGCTGGGATTATAGGTAAGAACCACAGTGCCCAGCCCAAGATCTAATAATTTATGGTAAGTCCCCATTAACTAAAAGTAACTTTAAAAATCCTTTGGACTTACACTACCCGGTAGAAAGACCTAGTCTAAGGCTTTGATAATCAAGACACTAGGGTATGTGATACATGACAGAAAAACAGATTGAAGAGATTATAAAGTCCAGAAACAGATGCACACATATATAGTTCTTTGATTTTATGACAAAGGTGATCCTATAGAGTAGTAGGGGAAAGAGTGGTATTTTCAATAAGTGTTGCTGGATCAACTGGATAGTCACATGTAAAAAAATAAATCTTGACCCCTTATCTCACACCATATACAAACCAACTGTAGTTGATACAAACAACCAAATGGAAAACAGCAAACAATATAGCTTTTTTTTTTTTTTTTCCAAGATGGAGCCTCACTCTGCTGCCCTGGCTGGAATGTGGTGGTGTGATCTTGGCTCACTGCAGCCTCCACTTCCTGGGTTCTAGTGCTTCTCCTGCCTCAGCTTCCTGAGTAGCTGTAATTACAGGCATGCACTACCACGCCCAGCTAATTTTTGTAGTTTTAGTGGAGACAGGGTTTCACGGCCATGTTGGCCAGTTTGGTCTTGAACCCTGACCTCAGGTGATCCACCCGCCTCAGCCTCCCAAGGTGCTGGGATTACAGGCGTGAGCCACCATGCCCAGCCTACAATAAAGGTTTTGGAAGAAAGCATAGGAGAATCTCTTCATGATTTGGCTTGAGCTAGGCAAAGATTTCTTTAATAGAATTCAAAAGTACTAATTATTTAAAAAATTCATAAATATGACTACATTAAAATTAAGAACTTCTCACAGAAAGATAACATTACCAATGTGAAAAGGAAAGCCACAAAGTAGAAGATTCTTGTATTACATACACCCACCAAAATTTCTATATTCAAAACGTATAAAGAAATCCTTTAAATCAACAATAAAAAGGCAGACAACCCCTTAGAAAAATGGACAAAAGTCTCAAACTTAAGTACTTCATAAAAAAAGAATATCCAAATGTCCACTAAACAACTGAAAAGGTCCTCATACTTCATTAGTTACCAGAGAAATATAAATTAAAATCACAATGTGATACCACCACATATCCATCAGAAAGCCTAACTTTTTTTTAACCTGTGGCTTGTTGTGCATGTTGGTTACATGAGTATTTCGTTTTATGAAAATTTACTGAGCTATACAATTACAAATTGAGTACTTTTTTGTTTGCATGCTATACTTCCACAGTCTGCTTAAAAAACAAAGCCTTTCAGGCCGGGTGTGGTGGCTCAAGCTTGTAATCTCAGCACTTTGGGAGGCCGAGGCGGGTGGATCACGAGGTCGAGAGATCGAGACCATCCTGGTCAACATGGTGAAACTCCGTCTCTACTAAAAATGCAAAAAATTAGCTGGGCATGGTGGCACGTGCCTGTAATCCCAGCTACTCAGGAGGCTGAGGCAGGAGAATTGCCTGAACCCAGGAGGCAGAGGTTGCGGTGAGCCGAGATCGTGCGATTGCACTCCAGCCTGGGTAACAAGAGCGAAACCCCATCTCAAAAAAAAAAAAAAAAAAGAAAAAAAAAAAAGCCTTTATATATATATATATATAAATATATATATATATATATATATATATATTTAAGGCAGGGTCTTACTCTGTTGCCCAGGCTGGAGTACAGTGGCATACTTATGGTTCACTAAAGCCTCAACCTCCTGGTGAAGCTAAAGTCTCACTAAAGGCTCACTAATGCCTCAACCTCAAGTGATCCTCTTACCTCAGCTTCCCTAGTAGCTGGAACTACAGGTGTGCACCACCGCATCCTGCTAATTTTTGTATATTCGTAGAGGTGGGGTTTTGTCATGTTACCCAGGCTGGTCTTGAACTCCTGGGCTCAATTGAGACTCCTGCCTTGGCCTCCCAAAGTGCTGAGGCTACAGGAATGAATCACATGTGGCCAATAATTTTGAATGTCATCTTTTTGTTATTATTGTCCCCCAAAGATTTTTTAGAGAATAAAAACAAAATATAATGTGAAATTTTATGAAGCACCATCCAGAGTCTCGAGGTATAAAGGAGGATCCTCAACTATATTTCCATTTCCTATAATCCTAAATCTTCTGAATTAAAATAACTAATTACGTACAGGCTGGGTGCAGTGGCTCATGGATGTAATCCCAGCACTTAGGGAGGCTGAGACAGGCAGATCACCTGTGGTCAGGAATTGAAGACTAGCCTGGCCAACATAGTGAAACCACATCTCTACTAAAAACATAAAAACTAGCTGAGCATGGTGGTGTGGGCCTGTAGTCCTAGCTAACCAGGAGGCTAAGTCATGAAAAATGCTTGAACCTAGGAGGTGGAGGTTGCAGTGGACCAAGATCGCACCACTGCACTCCAGCCTGGGGGACAAAGTAAGACTTCATTTAAAAAAACAAAAAACAAAAAACAAAACTAATTATAGAGAAAAAGGTAAATAAATATCTAGGTAAGTGATAAATGATGCCAGAAAAATTAATAACTGTAAATAAATGATAAAAATATATAGTAGTACTATCCTTGTAATTAGTTTTATAATATAACAAGATAAAAATAAAAAATTAAAATTAATTAAAAAGAAACCAATGTGGTAAAACAAAGTTTCATAATTCAGTATTATAGACTATAACCTTCTAAAATATATATGCTATATACCACATTGCCTGGCAAAATCAAGCTGTTTTACCACTCACCATTACATGTGCTATAATTATTCAATATTTTAAAACACATTGCAGTTAGAAACCATTTTTCTTTAATTTTACTTACTCAGTGTATTGTGGCCAGTGTGAATACCTTGTATAACAGATGTTCTGAGTAGCAATTCAACATCAGAACCTATTTTCATTAGCTGTTAAGAAAACCAAACAAATAGGTTAAGTCCTTTGGGTGTTTCATATGAATGTACTGTTTTTGAAAATGATGGTTTTACCATAATTTCTTTTCAGGTAATACAGTAGTTTCTCCTTATCTACAGTTTTAGTTACCCATGGTCAACTATAGTCTGAAAATATTAAATAGAAAATTCCCCAAATAAATAATGTATAAGTTTTTTTTTTTTTTTTTTTTGAGACAGAGTTTCGCTCTTGTTACCCAGGCTGGAGTGCAATGGCGCGATCTCGGCTCACCGCAACCTCCGCCTCCTGGGTTCAAGCAATTCTCCTGCCTCAGCCTCCTGAGTAGCTGGGATTACAGGCACGTGCCACCATGCCCAGCTAATTTTTTGTATTTTTAGTAGAGATGGAGTTTCACCATCTCTACTAAAAATACATGTTGACCAGGATGGTCTCGATCTCTTGACCTTGTGATCCACCCGCCTCGGCCTCCCAAAGTGCTGGGATTACAGGCTTGAGCCACCGCGCCTGGCCAATAATGTATAAGTTTTTGTTTGTTTGTTTTTGTTTTTTTAAACTGTAACTCTAAGGCATTTTATTATAAAAAGTTAATACTCATATACATAAAGTAATATGTACTTAAAATTCATGATACATTTACTTCATTTTTTAGCTTGACCTTCTAGTAGATCCTTAGCTTCATTTATTTTGGCTGCTATATAAGGAGATCCTCCTTTGTCAGGATGATTTAAAAGCATAATTCGTCGATGAGCATCTCTTATTTTCCCTTTATTGGCAGTAGGGCTTACACCTAGTATTAATGCTGCTTCCCGTTTTGTCATTTTGGGTTCAAACCCACCTCTGTAATAGCCACCACTGAAGGCAGATTTTGGTAGACTTTGAAAAACTTGTTTTACTTGAGGCTCCATATGCTTCATGGCTTGCAAAACATAACGGCCTGCAAATCCTGCAGCTGCAATGGTCAGTCCAACTGCTACCATTGTACTGGCCATGGCCTCCGCCGCGAGCCCGGCTCATTGCTGTGCAGAGGCCGCGGCCGCCGCCCGCACGCCGGGAGCAGAGCGACACCCCCGCGACCGCACGCACGACCCGCCGAGCACGCCCCAATGTATAAGTTTTTAATCACATGTCACTCTGAGTAGCATGATGAGATCTCATGCCATCTGCTCCAGTCTGTCCAGGACGTGAATCATTTGTTTGTCCAGCATATCTATGTTGTATACACTGTCCACCTGTGGTCCTTTGGTAGCCATCTCAGTTATCAAGATTGACTGTTGTCACACTGCAGTGCTTATATTCAAGTAACTCTTATTTTACTTAATAATAGCTCCAAAGCATAAGAGTACTATGGCTAATTTATAAATTAAACTTTATCATAGGTATGCATATATAATAAAATGTACGATTTGGTACTATAGAAATTTGAGGCATCCACTGAGGATTTTAGAATTTATCCTCTAAGGATAAAGGGGGACTACTGTACTGCTTTTAACTGTTTTACCATTCCAAATAGCATAGAAAGCTCAGATATGCATATAGTTTTAACTTTTATCTATCAATTCTATATTTTATTCCAAAACAGATTTATTTTTTGTTACAATGCGTATTTTTAAGTGTGTTTAAGATGCACATTTTTGGAAGGGCAGTTGAATCTTTCATAGAGTTAGATGTTCAGAACACTTGAATTCCAACTATGGCTTTATCATTAAGTGTATGGCCTTGGGTTAATCCCCTACTCTCTGAGTTTCAGACCTCATCAAATACTAGGTACTTGACAGACTTTGAGGACCTTTCAGGGATCTGTGAGTTCAAAATTATTTTCAAAACACTATAGCCTTCTGCATGGTTTGAGTTGCGAGCAGTAGAGCTTTCTCCATCAAAATACCATTCTTTATTTGCCAGAAGCACTGACAAATTAAGATTATTCAGACTTAGCTATTTAGCAGACACTTTTTGAAAAAGTAGAATGTGTCACTTCAAAGAAAACAACTGACAGTATTTGCTGACAATGACAAAACTGAGGCTTTCAAGCAAAAATCAGAATTCTGAAGAACTTGTATCTGCCAGGGTAAGCTTGATAACCTCACAATACTTAAATATTTTTTTCTTTCTTTGTTTTTGAGACAGTGTCTTGCTCTGTCACCCAGGCTGGAGTGCAGTGGCATAATCATAACTCACTGCAGCCTTGAACTCCTGGGCTCAAACGAGCCTCCCACTTCAACCTCCAAAAGTGTTGGGACTACAGGTGTGAGCCACCATGCCCAGCCTTAAAGATTTTTCTGATGAGATGGATATTAGTATTGATAGATCTAATTTAAAAATATGTAATAAACTATGTCAACATCTAGAATATCTGCAGTATTTAATGAACTTGTACTTTCTAAATCATTACAGCATGATGTTACAAAATCGTGCATAAGTAAAAAATCCATTCCCAGTATCAATTGAAGTCCATTAGTCTACCTAAATGAAGCTTTCAGCGCACATGAGAGAATATCACAAGAATAGGCAAGAGCATAAAAACCTTTAGTGAGAAAACTTCTTGGTAAATTCAAGAATCCTCAAAGAAGGTGCTGAGATTGGAAGAGTGAGGGGTATGTGGTTCAAGTTGAGGTGGGAAGGTAACAAAGGTCAGATGACAGACAGTCTTGCAGGTCATGTTAGGCACTTTAGATTTGTCTTCAATGAGATGAAGAGTCATGGGGTTGTGAGTAGAGTGCTGAGATATGCATTTTTAAATGTTTATTCTGTCTTTAAAAGTACTGAGAATAGGATCAGGTGCAGTGGCTCATGCCTGTAATCCCAGCACTTTGGGTGGCTGAGGCAGGTGGATCATGAGGTCAAGCGATGGAGACCATCCTGGTCAGCACGGTGAAACCCCGTCTCTATGAAAAAAAAAAAAAAATTGGCTGGGCATGGTGGCGTGTGCCTGTGATCCCAGCTACTCAGGAGACTGAGGCAGGAGAATTGCCTGAACCCAGGAGGCGGAGGTTGTGGTGAGCCAAGATCGCGCCATTGCACTCCAGCCTGGGTAACAAGAGCGAAATTCCGTCTCAAGAAAAAAAAAAAAATTACTGAGAATAGGCTGTAGGGAGTGAGGCCAGAAGCAGGAAGAGGCTGTTGTAACAAGAAAGATGATGGTGGCTTGGACTCAGAGATAGTAACAGGGAGGATGAGAAGTAGTTGAGTTCTGTATATATTAATATTTTGAGATTTAAGCCAACAGGATTTGCTATCAGACTGGATATAAGTGTGAGAGAAGGACAGCAGTCAAGAAAGCACCAAGGTTTTTAGTCTGAGCATCAAAAGGAAAGCTGGAATTAACTGCCATGGAGATGGCTGTGGGAGAGCAAAGCCTCACCTCCTGACACCGGGGAAGGGGCTTAGCAGGGAAGAGAAGGAGAAAATAATGGGTCTCCTCACCCACTAGAGGCAAATAAACTGAGTCAAGTCCTAGATACAAGGGTGAAAACAAGGCTAGTTGAGGAATAAGGGATTGGGGGGACCAGAGATGATGAGGAGAAGGCAGTCTGTATGAATCCTGGACCACCCACCTCAAAAAGAAATTCCATTTGGCCGGGCGCGGTGGCTCACGCCTGTAATCCCAGCACTTTGGGAGACTGAGGTGGGTGGATCACGAGGTCAACAGATCGAGACCATCCTGGTCAACATAGTGAAACCCCGTCTCTACTAAAAATACAAAAAATCAGCTGGGCATAGTGGTGCGTGCCTGTAATCCCAGCTACTCAGGAGGCTGAGGCAGGAGAATTGCCTGAATCCAGGAGGCGGAGGTTGCGGTGAGCCGAGATCGTGCCATTGCACTCCAGCCTGGGTAACAAAAAGCGAAACTCTGTCTCAAAAAAAAACAAACCAAAAAAAAAAAAAAAAAAAAAAAAAAAGAAATTCCATTGGTCTGACAGATAACAGAGTTCTGCACTGGAACTAACCTTTAAGAAATTACCACATGTCAGGGTGTATTATTAAAAAATATTCACAATTACGTGGCTTATGCCTATAATCCAACACTTTGGGAGGCCAAGGCAGGAGGATCACTTAAAGCCGGGAGTTTGAAACCAGCCTGGGCAACAAAGCAAAACCTCATCTTTACCAAAAAAAAATATATATATACAATTAAAAAAAAATCACAATTATCTAAAAGCCTGTTTTATACTTTTACTCTTTCCGCACTACGTATCTGTGTGTGGCTGAATTTTCTTCATATACTTCAACCTAAAAAACATGTTGCGGGCTGGGCGCGGTGGCTCAAGCCTGTAATCCCAGCACTTTGGGAGGCTGAGGCGGGTGGATCACGAGGTCAAGAGATCGAGAGCATCCTGGTCAACATGGTGAAACCCCGTCTCTACTAAAAATGCAAAACATTAGCTGGGCATGGTGGCACGTGCCTGTAATCCCAGCTACTCAGGAGGCTGAGGCAGGAGAATTGCTTGAACCCAGGAGGCGGAGGTTGCGGTGAGCCGAGATCGCGCCACTGCACTCCAGCCTGGGTAACAAGAGCGAAACTCCATCTCAAAAAAAAATAATAAATTAATAAAAATAAAAATAAATAAAAAACATGTTGCAGGGGACCAGGTGCAGTGGCTCATGTCTGTAATCTCAGCACTTTGGAAGGCTGAGGTGGGTGGATCACCTGAGGTCAGAAGTTTGAGACTAGCCTGGCCAACATGGCAAAACCCCATCTCTATTAAAAATACAGAAATAAGCAGGGAGTGGTAACATGCATCTGTAATCCCAGCTACTTGGGACGCTGAGGCCTCCTAAGAAGAATCTTGAACGCTCTTGGGTTCAAGAAGAATCGCTTGAACCCAAGAGGCTGAGGCTGCAGTGAGCTGGGATCATACCACTGCACTCTAGCCTGGTCCACAAGAGTGAAACTTTGTCTCAAAAAAAAAAAACCACCCAGTAAAAAACCAATACTATTCTCCTCACTAAATTTTTTAGAATGGTTATTTTTCATAAATACTATGTTACTTATTAATGTATAAGAAATTATTGTTATTTTAAAATCAATTAATACATATTTTAAAGATGTCTCAGTTTACATTTCTAATATGATAAATATTGATATAAACAAAGCTTTTTGGGGTCCTCAATTTTTAAGATTGTAAAGGTTCTTTGAGACCACCAAGTTTGAGAACTGCTGGTCTAGAGAGGATGCCTGACTCCTTTTAGTACCAAGACTGTATCAGCCCTCTAATAACAATGCAATTATTTAAGAACTACTAAAATCTTAATATTTCAGAGTTGCAGTACAAATACACATTTGTATATAACAAATATGTAATTTCTAGATTGCTTAATGTTAAACTAATGCTCTATAAGTAAAATGAATTTGCGAGACTGTAGTTCATTTGCCCAGTTTTGTAGTTCATTTTCCCAGACCTCAATTTACAAATCTTTAATCATAATTCCAAAATTAAAAAATAATTACCATATTGTTATTAATCAGTTTACTGAATAACAAACAGTACAAACTTCTTCATATACCTTTAACCTCCCTTCAAATCATGACTTGATGATACTGTCATCTCTATGTCTGCTGTGAACAAAAGTTACATATTCCCTATTTGCCCTATCATATGTTTCAGCAAAATCTTTCCCATTTTGTTTATTTTACAGAGAGAGAATACTTAGGCTATCTCATAAGCTTCATTATTACAGGTATTTACTATTTCAAAAATAGCACCTTTCTCCACTAAATATAAATGCATTTTTAATCTTTTTTATTTGGAAATTATATTAAACATGGAAGAATTTCTCTAGTTTGTACCTTCCTTTTTACCAAATCAATTCTTGTAACCATAACTACCTTGCAAATTATTCTCCATTTTTTGGTTTTCTTCCTAAGGGTCCTTTCCTTACCTTTATACAGTTAGACACAGGAAGCTGAGGACAGAGATAATGTGTATATGCCAGAATACATAATATACAGGAAAAGAAAAATTGTGCATTTTTTTCAATCAACTTTTACTAGGAATATTAGGGAGCTGAAAGAGTAGTGTCTGTACAGTGTCTTCAACTAGAGCAAGTGACCAAAACGCAAATACAGAAAGCAAAGCAAGAACAGTTCATATTGTAGCTGTTTATGTCATTGCCAAGATGGGGTTAAAAAGAAATAACTGCTTAGTTCAGCTAAAAGAATAGAAGTTCCCTCTGTAATTCCGAGTTACTATAACACTCATTCTCTTTAGTTTCAGTCACTTGCTCTAGGTGAAGATAGAAGTTCCGTGGGTTTCTGGGTTTATTCAGCTGCTCTGGCTTTGATCATGGCTATTTCTATGTTCTGTTCATGGGGCACCTTGCTGTATTTTGGGTGCTGGCAGATGACCCTGACGACGTGAGCCACACCAAATAAGTGAAGGTTATCTACAGTTGTGATGGCCTTAACTATCAAGTAATGTTTTTTATTTCACATAACCTCTCTGTCTTCATCATTTCCTCTTTGTCCAAAAAACTGTATAAGTTTTGCTGTAACTGAAAAAATTACTGTACCTCTTCTATTTTCTTAGGAGAAGTTTCACTTTTATTATTTTTGAATTCTTCATTTATCTTTATTCTGGCTGCTACAAAAAGAAAAATACATATAGTTACTTGCTTTTGTAATCTATAATTCCTATTTCCATAATTTACATATTATTAATTATGAAAGGCTACTTCTCTAGTATAGAAAATGGTTTTGCCCTCATGAAGTACAAAGCATAAGAATAAGAAATTTGCTGGGCGCAGTGGCTCATGCCTGTAATCCCAGCACTTTGGGAGGCTGAGGTTGGGGGACCATGAGGTCAAGAGATCAAGACCATCCTGGCAACATGGTGAAAACCCATCTCTACTAAAAAATACAAAAATTAGCTGGGTGTGGTGGCACGCACCTGTAGTCCCAGCTACTCGGGAGGCTGAGGCAGGAGAATTGCTTGAACCGGGGAGGCAGAGGTTGCAGTGAGCCGAGATCATGTCACTGCACTCCAGCCTGGTGCCTGGTGACAGAGCGAGACTCTGTCTCAAAAAAAAAAAAAAAAAAGAATAAGAAATTTATTAATGAAGTCTCTTGAAGAACTTTTGACAGGCTGACAAATTTGTAAGAAAACCTAGTATAAACCTTTGGCACCCTAATACTTTTTCTTCCACTGATTTTTACTCTCAAATTCATTTGTATACCTATAGCTATTGAATTCTAATAAATCTAATTTAATGTTTTATTTTTACAAATCTAAGGATTTCTATTAAAATGCTTTTTTTAAGATGGTAAAATTCAATAATAGAAGTGTGTTAAACTACATACACACACAAAGATTGGCAGCAAACAGGATATATGTGTACATATATAAAATTTTAAGTGTCTTGGCTGACATATAAAGTGAGTGAAAAATAAAACTTTTGTTCACATGTACCTCTGAGAGTTTGGTATCATCACAGTAGCATACTTTGGTAGAATCTCACTGGCCTTATTGTGCTGCTGTGAGCATTTGATGGAACAATCCACACAGAGTGTTTAGCAATTATGCCACAAATTGTTAGCTGTCCTTATAACTATTCCACTTAAAAAATTTAAAGCAACAAAAATATTCCATGTTGATAATTACCATAAAAATGTTCTTCTGTGTTGTGTGTATATATACATATATATGCCATATATATATATATATATATATATATATATATATATATATTTCTTTTTTTTTTTTTTTCAGTTGGAGTCTTACTTTGTTGCCCAGGCTGGAGTGCAGTGGCACGATCTCAGCTCACTGCAACCTCTGCTTCTGGGTTCAAGCAATTCTCCTGCATCAGCCTCCCAAGTAGCTGGGATTACAGGTGTGTGCCATCATGCCTGGTGAATTTTTGTATTTTTGGTAGGGGGCGGATTTCACCATATTAGCCAGGCTGGTCTCTAACTCCTGATCTCAAGGGATCTGCCTGCCTTGGCCTCCCAAAATGCTGGAAGTATATGTGTGAGCCACCGTGCCCAGCCTATGTTGCATATATTTTATTTAATATGTAAGGTGGTTTGGAGTTTGCACTTTTGTGGTTTTTTTGTTTTTTTTTTTAGACAGAGTCTTGCTCTGTCGCCCAGGCTGGAATGCGGTGGCATGATTTCAGCTCACTGCAGCCTCCGCCTCTCAGGTTCAAGCAATTCCCCTGCCTCAGCCTCCTGAGTAGCTGGGACTAAAGGCATACGCTACCATGCCTGGCTAATTTTTATATTTTTAATAGAGATGGGGTTTCACCATGTTGGCCAGGCTGGTCTTGAATTCCTGACCTCATGATTCCCCAACCTTGGCCTCCCAAAGTGCTGGGATCAGAGGCGTGAGCCACCACGGCCGGCCTAGAGTTTGGACTTTTGAATCAGACGGCTTAGGCTAAATCCCAGGTCCACCTCTTACTAAGTATGATGTGAGACAAATATTTTCACATTTTGTCAATTTTCTCACTTGCAAAAACAGTAATTATAATAGTAACCATCTCACAGAAATGTTTTAAGAATTAAATCAGAGCTGGGCATGGTGGCTCACGCCTGTAATCCCAGCACTTTGGGAGGCCGAGGCAGGTGGATCACAAGGTCAAGAGATCGAGACCATCCTGATCAACATAGTGAAACCCCGTCTCTACTAAAAATACAAAAAATTAGCTGGGCATGGTGGCGCGTGCCTGTAATCCCAGCTACTCAGGAGGCTGAGGCAGGAGAATTGCCTGAACCCAGGCGGCGGAGGTTGCAATGAGCTGAGATTGTGCCGTTGCACTCTAGCCTGGGTAACAAGAGCGAAGCTCCATCTCAAAAAAAAAAAAAAAAAAAAAGAATTAAATCAGGAATTCATGTAAAGTACATACAATACATACATCTTAATCATTCAGAAATTATTTTTGACGAGTCACAAAAACTTAAATCCTTGGAAAACAGTGGGAACGCTTTTCCTAGGTGCACTCTTAAGGAGGTTTAGAAATGTACGAGGAGTGGGCCAGGTACAGTGGCTCACGCCTGTAATCCCTGCACTTTGGGAGGCCGAGGTGGGCGGATCACTTGAGGTCAGGACTTTCAGACCAGCCTGACCAACATGGAGAAATCCTGTATTTACTAAAAATATAAAACTAGCTGGGTGTGGTGGCACATGCCTGTAGTCCCAGCTGCTAGGGAGGCTGATGCAGGAGAATTGCTTGAATCTGGGAGACAGAGGTTGCAGTGAGCTGAGAGGGCACAACTGCATTCCAGCCTGGGCAAGAAGAGTGAAACTTTGTCTCAAAAATAAACGAACAAATAAATAAATAAAAATAAAAAATAGAAACGTATGAGGAGTGGAATTGAACATGACTATCACAGAACCTAAATTTCAGAGCCTGTGACTTCCAGGTAAGACAGAAATTACCTAAAACAGTGAGATACTGAATCTGAAATCATTTGGGATGGCTTCTCTTTCACAGCTGCTCTTTTAGACTGATGTAAGACATAATGACACGGTAATATATAGTCCTAGAGAGTGTGAAAATTTGATTATGTAACAGAAAGTTCAATGGCTTGAATATAAGGCAAGCAATGGTAAACATTGAAATCCTGGTCCCTTGCCTTTTAACTGACTCTTTATGAAGACTTAATCTTTAAAAATTTTTCTTTAAGTAGATATTCCTCAAATAAGTGTAATATGGCTGGGCATGGCGGCTCACGCCTGTAATCTCAGTACTTTGGGAAACCGAGGTGGATGGATCATGAGATCAGGAGATCGAGACCATCCTGGCTAATATGGTGAAACCCCATCTCTACTAAAAATACTCTACTCTGTAAAAACCCTGTCTCTACAAAAAATTAGATGAACGCGGTGGTGGGTGTCTGTAGTCCCAGCTACTTAGGAGGCCGAGGCAGGAGAATCACTTGAACCTGGGAGGTGAAGGTTGCGGTGAGTGGAGATCATGCCACTGCCCTCCAGCCTGGGAGACAGAACAAGACTCTGTCTCTAAAAAAGAAAAAAAAAAGTGTAATATGAGCTAATCTTTATAAAAGGATATTAGGGAAAGGTAGTGAAGGTCATTCCTTAAGATGGGTCTTAACCACAAAGGGTTTCTCAGATAGATTAGTAGTCATCTAAAAAGTAGACTGGCTCCAAAGAGGTAAAGAACATACTTACCTTCTAATGCTCTGGAATCATTTTTAAAAACTTGTTGTCTGGTCCTGTGCAGTGTTTTAAACAGCTGTAAAACCTGTTAAGAAAATCAGAATTCAAGACCGGGCAGAGTGGCTCATGCCTGTAATCCCAGCACTTTGAGAGGTTGAGGTAGCAGGATTGATTGAGTCCAAGAGTTTGAGACAAGCCTGGGTGATATGAAATCCCATCTCTACACACAAAAAAAATTTTTTTGAGATGAGTCTCACTCTATTGCCCAGGCTGGTGGTGATCTCAGCTCACTGCAACCTCTGCCTCCCTGGTTCAAGCAATTCTCCTTCCTCAGCCTCTCGAGTAGCTGGGATTACAGGTGCATGCCACCACACCTGACTAATCTTTATTAGCGATGGGACTTCACCATGTTGGCCAGACTGGTCTCGAACTCCTGACCTCAGGCAATCTGTCCGCCTTGGCTTCCCAAAGTGCTGGAATTATAGGCGTGAGCTATCAAGCCCAGCCCTTTTAATTGCTATTTCATAAAAGACAAGTGAAATGTTGAGACTTATGCATATTCTGAGTCTGTATTTAAAAAAAAAAAAGAGAGAAAAGAGCCTGGCATTTGGTAAAAGACAGATTGTGAAGAGGCTTTAGTGATAGGCTTAGGTCACTTCACAGTTCTCAAGTCCAAAGAGGTACTCAATACTGTTCTCCAATATTGCTCTTCTCCACTATTCCCTATATTAGTTATCGGAGGCCACCAAGTTTCTGAAGCCAGAAATCTGTAGTTCATCCTTTTAATCTACCTTACTCTTCTTGTGGAAACTTTAGGAATGTCTCTATAATCTTTCTTATATCCTCTATCAACAAAACTACTTACATTCAGATGTTCCCCATCTCTTAGACTACTTTCAAAGGTTTGTCATTTTGCCACATCCTCCTCTCCTTCAGTCTGTTCTACAAATAATTTCTAATATTTACTAAGCATACTGTGTGCTAGACACCATTTTAAGTGTTCTACAAGTATTAGAAAACCTATAACATAAAAGGCAGACACGAAAACAGAAACAAAAAAGAGCAAAAAAAAGAAAAACTTAAAAAATTGAACAAAAACCAAGCAGCCATTAAAAAATTTCCTCAAAAAGATGTTATTGCAGACACGGAATAACATCCATGAAAAGCTATAGTAAATTTAAAAAGGAACATTCAGAAAACTCCCAAAAGCACTTGGCTATCAAACAGGTGAGAGTAAGGATTAAATAAGAAAAATTGCCCAGAATATAGAATAAAAGTTCAGAAATAGAAATTATGGAGAGGAAAGATAAGAAAATTAAGGAGAAGGCCCAACAGTTAGATTAGCAGAAGGGCCAACAAAAGAAAAAAGAGAAAACAGAGGAAAGAAATTTTTAAAATTTCACTTAATGTTTGGGTAAAAGGGAAGAAAAAAAATTTCACTAAATAAGGCACATGAGTTACAAGATAGAAAGGGTTCCACCAAGTACCCAACGTAAAAGTTACACCACAGCACAGCAAGATGTAAGTTCAGTGTGATGCTGATAATGATAAAATCTCAGAGAAAAAACAATTCACATGTAAAGAAAAAAAATCAGAATGGCATCTAAATAGCCATTTAGATTTCTTCATATGATTTCATTCAGAAATTGTATTTTAGAAATCATTCATATGATTTCTAAATAGTACCACTGTAAGAAGACAGTGGAATAATGAATATTATTCAAGTTTTAAAAAAATGTCTGCCTTAGAACAACATAGATACTCAAATTATCACTCAATGACAAGGGTAAATACATATTTTCAGAAACACAAAGTCTCTTATCTGTCATACACACTTTATTAGAAAGCTACAGAAGAATATACTCCACCAAAATAAGGAAATGAATCACAAAAGGAAAAGACATGGGAACCCAGGAGACAGGTGGTCTAATGTGGGAGAAGCAAAGACCATGGGAAAGGAGAAATGCTAGTCAACATTTGTGCAGCCAGACTAGAAAGCAACTAGTCAGGACTATAGCAAAAGGCTGAATTGCTCCAGAAAAGGTATTGCTAGGAAAAATGAAACTGGTAGACTCTTTTTGTCTAGAATTTGGGAATAGATATCTAGGATATCTATTAAAGAATATTTTTAAAAAGTAATAATTTTTAAAAGGCAGTTATTAATTTAAAGATGAACTGGTAAAAAAGACAATGTAATCATATATAGTACTAAAGGGCTCAGCTGTGGGTAATTTTTATAGTAATAACATCAAAGATAAAAGCTAATTCACCACTATTTATATACTGAAGAGTTAATAAGGGGGAGCCGGTCCTCGTCTTCCATAGTTAAAAGTCAATAAAGGCCAGGCACGGTGGCTCAAGCCTGTAATCCCAGCACTTTGGGAGGCCGAGGCGGGTGGATCACGAGGTCGAGAGATCGAGACCATCCTGGTCAACATAGTGAAACCCCGTCTCTACTAAAGATACAAAAAACTAGCTGGGCATGGTGGCGTGTGCCTGTAATCCCAGCTACTTAGGAGGCTGAGGCAGAAGAATTGCTTGAACCCAGGAGGCGGAGGTTGTGGTGAGCCGAGATCGCGCCATTGCACTCCAGCCTGGGTAACAAGAGCGAAACTCCGTCACACACACACACACACAAAAAGTCAATAAATATCTCTAAAAAGAAGTGCCAATAAATAGCAGTTTAAATATGTCATTTAGAAACATTGAGATAAATTCCAGAAGAAATAGCTAAAATGATTAAAAGTGCTTGTCACTAAGAAGCAGGAATTGAGAGTAGGTAGAAGGAAATAGGCACCTAATGGTTTTCTATGTAACATTATTTAACTTCTTAAACTTTATGCATTTATTATACTTATAAAAATGTATATTATAAAGAGAAAGGGAAAGAACATTATCAAAACAGGAAAAACACGCTTTTGTCTTTGAGTCAAAGAAGAAAAGGAAAAAGAAAAAAACCCCACAGATGAGAGTGTCAAGAAAATTTGGGTAAAAGAAAAAAAATCCCACAGAATGGAAGAAAATGTTTGCAAATCATATGGCTGATAAAGGCCTAGGATCAAGAGTATATAAAGAACTCTTACAACTCAAAAGTAATAAAATTTTTAAATCCTAATATAAAAATAGGAAGACATATATGACAAACCCACAGCCAACATCACACTGAATGGGGAAAAGTTGAAAACATTCCCCCTTAAACCTGAAACAAGACAAAGATGTCCACGCTCACCATTCCTAGTTTACATAGCGCCAGAAGTCTAGCCAGAGAAATCAGGCAAGGAAAAGAAGTAAAAGGCATCCAAATTGGAAAGGAGAAAGTCAAAATATCTCTGTTTGCAGATGGCAGGATCTTATACCTAGAAAACCCTGAAGATTTCTCCAAAAGACTTCTAGACCTGATAAACAACTTCACTAAAGTTTCAGGATACAAAATTAATGCATAAAACAGTTGCATTTCTATATGCCAAAAACATTCAAGCTAAGAACCAAATCAAGAACTCAATTCCATTTACAATAGTCACAAGCAAACACACAATACCTGGGAATTCATTTAACCAAAGAGGTGAAACATCTCCACAAGGAGAACTTCAAAACACTGATGAAAGAATTCATAGATGACACAGACACACATGGAAAAACATTCCATGTTCATCAACAGGAAAAATCAGTATCTTTAAAATGACTATGCTACCCAAAGCAATCTACAAATTCAATACAATTCTCAAATTATCAATGTCATTTTCACAGAATTAGAAAAAAAAAATCCTAAAATTCGTATGGAACCAAAAAAGAGCCTGAATAGCCACAGCAATCCTAAGCAACAAACAAACAAAAAAATAAAGCTGAAGGCATCATATTACCTGACTTCAAACTATACTATAAGGCTACAGTAACCAAAATAGCATGGTACTGTGCAAAAATAGATCAATGGAACAGAACAGAGAACCCAGAAGTAAAGCCACACACCTACAGCCATTTGATCTTGAACACAGTGAACAAAAATAAACAATGAGGAAAGGACATCTTATTCAATAAATACTGCTGAGAAAACTGGCTAGCCATATTTAGTAAAAAGAAACTGGATCCCTATCTCTTGCCATATACAATAATTAACTCAGGATGTATTAAAAACTTAAATCTAAAACCTCAACTTATAAAAACCCTAGAAGAAAACCCAGGGAAAATTCCTCTGGACATTGGCTTTGGTGACTAAGATTTCAAAAGCAAATGCAACAAAACCAAAAGTAGACAAATGAAACTTAATGACTCTAAAGAGCTTCTGCATTGCAAAAGAAACAATCAACCGAGCAAACAGACCGCCTACAGAATGGGAGAAAATATTTGCAAACTGTATATCCAACAAAGGACTAATATCCAGATTCTATAAGGAATGGAAACAAATCAACCACAAAAAATTCCAAACAGCCCCATTAAAATGTGGACAAAAGACAAAAGAAGACATACAAGCTGCCAACAAACAAGGGAAAAAAATGTTTAACAACACTAATCAACAGAGAAATGCAAATGAAAACCACAAGGAAATACCATATCACACCAGCCAAAATGACCATTAAAAAGGAAAAACAAAACAAAACAAAACAGATGTGGGGCATAGTGGCTCATGCCTGTGGTCTCAGCACTTTGGAAGGCTGAGGTGGGTGGATCACCTCAGGTCAGCAGTTCAAGACCAGCCTGGCCAGCATGGAGAAACCCCATCTCTACTAAAAAAATGCAAAAAATTAGCTGGGTGTGGTGGTACCTGCCTATAATCCCAGTTACTTGGGAGGCTGAGGCAGGAGATGCTTGAACTTGGGAGGCAGAGGTTGCTGTGAGCCGAGATCGTGCCATTGCACTCCAGCCTGGGCAGCAAGAGCAAAACTCTATCTCAAAAAAAAAAAAAAAAAAAAGAAACAAAACAAAACAAACAGATGTTGGTGAGGATGCAGAGAAAAGGGAACACCTATACACTGTTGGTGGAAATATAAATGAGTTCAACCTCCATTGAAATCAGTACGAAGATTTCTCAAAGAACTAAAAATAGAACTACAATTCAGCCCAGCAATCCCACTAGTAGGTAACTACACA